CTCTCTCTCTCTCTCTCTCTCTCTCTCTCTCTCTCTCTTACTCTCTTCCCTTGAGAAACGTGTTTTGGCGTCTTACTTCCACGTTCTATGTGAATTTAGATAAATCTATATTCTTTTTATCACTCAAAAACAATGTCTACGCCACCCGCTTGAGTAATTTTGCAAAATTCATTCTGCCTACCTTCCCTCTCTACTCCCCTCTCTATTATACTCTCTGTAAGTTTGATGCGGTCAGTTGCTCAGTATGAGATTGAGGCCTGGGTATTAAAAAGAAGAGGATAAAAACAGAATCCAAGCAGCAAAAATGTGGTCAGATGCCTTGGGTCAGAGGGACGGATAAAAGAACAATTAAAGAACGTGCCGTGAAACAAATTGATACTCATCGCAGTACATGTATATTATTTTCTGTGACCAGCAAACGTAGACTCAACTACCTTGATGACGTAAATAGAAGCATCAAAACAAGCCCTGATGACAGCTGTGCTGCAGGGAAAATAGAGGGAAAGAGGAATAAGGGACGAGTTTTTATATCGTACATTGCAAACGTAAAATCTGTGGTCTACATCGTTACGAAATGATACATCAAGGCAGAGATTAAAGAAGAGGGGGCCTGCTGTGGCTAGGAATAGGGCGAGTTGCTTCTATTGTTTTCTCCAAGCCAACTGCTTCCTCGTCCACCATCACTTGTAACTTTGCGAAATAATTCCATTCACCTTTTTCTTTCCCTCCCCAGTCTCTCCGCCAGTACCTGACAGGATCTCAACACACAGAAAGAGTTCACGAGATCGTAGAGACAGCTGTTAACAATATGAAACACGAAAAAGGCCCTTTTGACATAGAGAAACACATGTTCCATATAGTCCTCAATGTCCTACACGTGTTGTGTTTTGGTAGCACTATCGCTGTCGATTCCGAACAGTTTTCAAAACTTCACTATTTGTTCAATAGCACTGGTGCGACTTTGACCAATAATTGGGAAGACGCTTTCCCGTTTTTACGTCATTTTCCAAGTAAAAAGTTTAAAAACCTGGTGAAGGTCAACGGCGAGTTTCGCGAGTACCTCGAAGACCGCGTGAAAGAAGGCCGAGCAACGTTTGACGAAAACAACGTAACTACTTTGGTAGACAACATCCTGGTCTCCCAGCGACAACTGGAGAAAGGGAACAACGCCGCACTACAGGTGGGCACTGGTTGTTGATGTTTTCCACCTCTACCGACACAGTTTAGGTCAGTCAGGAGGAGGGTTGTTGTTTGCTGGGGCTATCAGGGAATGCAACGGAATTTCTACCCGGAGATAACAGATCTTTCTCCTCCTCCCTCTCTCCTCCTCCTCCTCCTCCTCCTCCTCCTCCTGATCTTCCTTCTCCTCCACTTTTTCCTCTCCTCCTCCTCTCCTCTCCCTCTTCTTCTTCTTCTCCTCCTCCTCCACCCCTCCTCGCTGTTCTCTACACGATTTAGATCAATAACAAGGAAGCCACTTATAGACAGTTTCAACCTGAGATGCATCTCTTACTCTATCCCAGCAGAAAGATACTGGTAATAAATTACATGTACCCCATTTAGGAATCAAAGTAACGTCTTTCTTGTAAGTTTCTTAGGTACATTTTGAACTTTCTCTTCTGATAAAGAGAAAGCCTTTTCAGCGCTACATATACTTAGGTCGACTTTTTGTAATGGTAAAAAAAAAGAAGAAAAATTGCATGGACACTTTGAAAGTCAAAGTAATTTGTCTGCAGAGACAGTTAATGTTTCTCACCCAGACTCTATACCCAAAAGTATTAAAGTGATCGATCAACATTTTGACCCCTCTCCCAAACCCTGGTTCGACATTAAACTCGTCAAGCTACCTCGATAACTGTGTGATTTATAATACTCAAATAGGGGCTACCAGCGGAGGCGTGTTGTGAAGAGTAAGTATTATTGTCTGTATGGCCAGCTCCTTCGGAATGAGAAACGTTGACTAAAATTCGTGTCGAACTGAACTCAACTGCAGACCTGGGGATTTTAAAAAATATGTAGAGGGAGGGGGAGCTTAGGTTAGGGGAAATGGTAGACACTTTAAGTATTATACCCTCTTACTATACGTCACTAAACAATATTAAATAATTTGCGCTTCTCTTTTCAGGCTAGATTCACTAATACGAATGTGGTTTTGACAATGTCCAGTGTCTTTTTTGCGGGCACTGACACCTCACGACACACTCTAGCCTGGCTGTTTCTGTATCTGGCTAAAACTCCGGACGTACAGAAAAAAATACACGCAGAAATCGATGCCACTGTCGGTGAGTTTTTTTTCCAAAACACACATTGCTTGTGATTACGGTTGTGCGGTGCATTTATTGCCACCACACGTTTTGTATAATCTGTAAATAAATGTGAAGACTACAGTGGAAACAAACGACATCAGCACATATTGATGACTACCTCCTTCTCTCGCGTGTTCAATTGGTCGTCAGTCGTTCTTTCCGCGTATGAGTCTTTAATTATGTCGAAAACAAAATTACTATAGCTTGCTCACTTTCGTCCGACCGCGGTTGAAACAAGGTGAAATGAAATCGCACTGTTTAATCTTCTTAGATCTTTTCATACGGGTGTAAAAGACATATGACCAAAAGAGCCGAAAAGCCTTTTCATAAAGGCCACCACAAACTAAGGTTCTGACACGTTTTCTTTGATGTAAGCCTGACGTAGGTTAAAAAAAAATAACTGGGGATTTACAGCATACCCCTGAAACTTTCTACACCTTTTCCCAATCAAAAACCAAAATACAGAGTTCAAATGCAGCAATGAAAGTTCATATATCAAAATTGTCAAATTAATTCAATGTAGAGAGTTCAGATTCAACACAATGGGAAATGTTAATGCCGGCTCAAATGTAATCACAGGAGAGCTCAAATGTAAACATTAGGGAAATCAAATCCGTCATTGTCGGTTCAAATGCAGAATAGGAAAGTTAAAATTCAACAATAGAAAAACAACGAAGCTAGGACGTAACTATCATCTTCGAGTCTGGCAACCTTGTCTCTAAGCAACGTTCGTTATTTACTGTTCACGTCTCTCGCCTTCAATACTCACTGTCTGCTCTCCAGACCCACACCTTTTCCCGATCAAATATAAAAACAGATCTAGCAAGAAATGCAGCAATGAAAGTTCAAAGGTCTATCTCTTAGCTACATTCGTTGTTTACTGCTCGTGTCTTTTTCCGTATGTCTTGATCTAGTTTGAACCGTCTTGTCGTTGTCTTGTTAGATCCAACACTTGGAAGCAATCAATCATTGTAACAGATCTTACCTGGAAGACATAGTAACACATTAAGCGCGCCTGACCCAACCCCCC